ATACGAGCCAAAGAAGCTAGCGACATATAGAACCAATGTATTTTGCCATTTGAGTGCACACTACACCCAGAAAGTGACGCGCCAAAGAGCGTCACAAGATTCAGGAATTGAGAGGGCCTTCTCAGATTTTTGGAATGCTGTACATGTGGGATGATTAATGGCAGGAAACTGATCAACTTTGTATAGGATAAACCACTTGATAGTGTACAATTTACCAACAGCTAGGCTATTTTAATAAGCAGAATATCCCAACTTGGTCCAGAAAGCAAGGATACTCGGGGTAACGTTTCTCTGTACCTGTTCCGGCTGCCATGGACTTCTCCTACGTTCTAGCATCTTCACCCATTCATTGATCAGCCGGTCTTTCCCTGAGCGGCCTGCGAAATGTAACAGGAAGTCTCCACGTCTGGCGTGATAGACTTCCAAGTCTTCCTCATTATCTTTCTCCTCGAACTCGGTAGGTGAGCCTTTGGGGTAGGCATTGAACCATTCTTGTGGGACAAGCTGCACATTTCTCCGAAATTTCGGCTCGTTCATGGTGATCTCCATCGCACTCTGCTCGGTAAACGGGAGCGATACATTTGGCTTGTAATGCCGAAACGCAACGATATCGCTGAATAGTTCAATCGCCCACTGGTTTACACGAACAAGGAACACGCCATTATTGAGACCGTTCCAGTCGTTCGTGACTAGCAAGTGTGTTTCATCATCATCGGCCGACACTTTATCTTCTTTTCGTACCACATCGCCACCGGAATCAGAGTGCTGATCATATTGTATGAAGCCCTCTTTGAGGGGGAGGAAGCTCGATAGAGAACGACACTGGTCAAGAATCAGTGTATCTCGGTCCACCCAGAAAATCCATTCTAGTCGCTCCTCGGCCGGTTTCATCATCTCTTCTAGGAGGATAGACAGGATGAAAGCAGGTTTATTCCAGAGGTCGTCGATAATTGGAGAGCACATGACCTTAAGGCTCGTGTCGTGAACTAAGTTATGTAACAGATGTGTCTCCAATGCTTTTTGGTAGTGTTCTTGGGGCGACCCGAAATGAGCCGTCACTGTTCCCATACGGGCTGATGAGGACTGGAGCGGATACAGTGGACTTTTTTGACATGCCGTACGTATAGTTTTCGACTCGAGGATAATAGAAGGGCTGAGACTCGGTAGACACTCGTTGCCGCCGTAAGAATGGAGGAGAGGAGGAATTGAGGAGACTTTGTGAAGAACATCGGCCAGGGGATGAGAGAACTCCCTCCATCCGCTGCTGTGAAACGAATACGCTTCATAACATAGAATGACGGCAACGAAGGAAATGAAAGCTTTTAGAGTAAACGACAGCATTGCTACAATAACCACCCGCGCTTGTGAAGTTTGAATATAAAACTCCTATAACTGTTTCATTGTGGACGAACAGAGTCTCATTCACTGGATATTATAACCAAAATAGGGGCTGAAGGGACCGCGCGACATTTTGCGACGCATGCCCTGCAACAATCACTTCTCCTACATCATACGCAGCACATAAATTTAGGATCTTGGCAATTTGCAAATCCCTCAGATAGCTTCGTATGACATGCTGTACGATTCAGCTGGTCGGAGAAGCACAACATACTATGCTGTATGTGGATATGGTAAAGAAGAGCTACTCACAACTAGACCTTGTTGAGACAAGGTTATCTATTTTTAAAGAGTTACCTTCGACCAGACATTTCAATCTAGCAAGGATAGACTTCGTTAATTGAACAATATAGTAAAAGGGGGAAGGTGAATGTTCAGAGCAGCTAGGATAGTCGTTGACGAGGCTACGCTGATAGTGGGTGAAAGGCCGCCTTGGGCCGCAGTTTATCCCTGGCCGGTGTCGAGGCCAATGGGTGATCCCGTTTCCCTTAGAAACTCAATGTTAGACACTACGGGCAATCACCACTTGCAAAAACAATTTTCCCCATTCATGACCTCAAAATTTTGGACCGCGTCATCGCGTTGTTGCTGTGTGGCTTGGTTGGATAAATTGGGTCAACCAAAATGAAATACGAACTGCCAGCCAAACTGTGGCGCTGTCATGGGTCAAAACAATTGATACTCCCAAGACAGCTTCTCTGCACTGAAAATGGACAAATCTACGCAAAAAGGCGTGGAAGCAAATCAAGCCGAAGATACCGAGAATGTGGAACGCCACAGCTCAAAGTCGAGGGTGCTGTAGGTCTCCTTCTCACTCCGCTTGATTAGAAGAGCATCCCAAGAAACATGTCCATCCCGAAATCGGCATTGGTCGTCGTGGCCAGAGTGAATTGGATCGACTCTCAGACGGCGACATACTCTCTGATATAGAGCTACGGTGTCATTCGGCTTGATAGCTGTACATATCAAAAGACGCCTTATACCTAGCACTACACTACTGCAATGACCAGGTCAACATGGGATGGGAGGACGAGGGTCCTGGTGACTTCTCGTGCTCGATCAGCGGTCGAAATCAATTCTGTGACGTCCTTTTAGTCCTTTAGCCTTGGGCCTTCGGCCTTCGGCCTTCAGTGACCATTTGGTTCAGGCCAGATTTTGGTATTACATGGATTCACTGGGAGTCTATACACTCATGGCTCTTTTCTTTTGAAGGGTCTTTCGGTCGGAACTTCCTTTGCCTACCTGCTACACCTGCTGTGGCACCATAGATGTACCTGGAACTCAAATACAATGGCTCAAACCCATTCCAGAGATTCGTGTTCCACTGTAGTAGAACCTATTGACGAAAAATTTGCCCTCTGTATTCACGACATGTTTGCATCAAGGCAGGTGCACATTTGACACTTTCTATAATCTTTCAAATGCAAAGAGCCGCAAGGAACTTCTCAAGTCCGTGCTATAGATTTTGACGTATCTAGCCTCCAAATCACATAAATTCGAACACTACCGGTACGATATTAATCTTTAATACTAAATAGTTACAACGGCTACTAATGAGCTTGATTGCAGCTGGGGATTAAATACAAGGAATCAGTCGGGGTTAGTTCAAGAAGCCCAACTCGCCCAGGAAGATCAGAGAAAGAACTGGTTTCAGCGTTCAAGCCCACAAACCCACATCCAGAACCCAGCTGAAGTACGCCTCACAAGGGTCGAATTCAAGGCTGGAGGTCCGAAATCGGTATGCTTTATACGGAATCTACTTCTTGCCCCACGCCCGGGGAGCTGAGAGAGTGGGCAGTACTATGGCTGGGGATGTGACCGAGTTCCTACCGAGGAGAAAGCGATCGAGAATAGCTTGCTTCGCGTTTGATCACCGCTTTCCTTAATTAAGGTGCGCTACGGCACAACTTCACATCCACCGTATCTGTCCACTCTGTCAAATGGAGCTTACACTGATTTGCTGTACACTCCACTGGATTAGCGAGTTGACAACATCTAACATAATTCACCCCAAATTTCCGGGATTCTGCGGCATGAAGGTGGTGGAGAGGAAAGCCGCACCCGCACAAAAAGGGCGATGGGAGTCGACCTCAAAAACTAACCAGCTGAAATGCTTCAAGCTGAGGCTATATTCTAAAGTAGTGTGTCTAAAATTGGAGTGCCCAGACTGGAGGCTTTCTTCTCACGGACATTGCCAGCAAGACCGGTATTTAGACGCGTGGACGCCAAGCAAGACTTCTGATAGAATCATTTTCACCCACAAACACGAATGAAGCCTTAATAGTACTCATTTAATCTAACTCGCTTCAATCGATTACTGGGCCAAGCTGCGCCATCATAGGCAGCCCACAGTGGACAAACTAGCGGCCTGCCAAGATCCGTAACACGAGCACCGAAGCGGCCCGACTGCCATTCCCACTAAGACAGCTTGCAGCACTTCGTGTACTTGTAGCTACTCTCTGTTTGAAGGCTCAATACAAGGAACGTTTTAATATAAGCTAGATGTGTTTCAAGACTTTCCCCTACGATCAGCTTCCCTTTTAGTCTCCCTACTTCTTCCTACACATGGTGTAGAGAATTTAACATGGTGAACCCTCTGCTTTCTATATTTTTTATCTTAGCTGTCCAAGCCGCGGCTGCAGCTCAGAAAAGCCGAGATCGAGAGTCTCAACCGGATCTCAGTCGCGTATCTGGCCGCATGGCCAATGATTCCGGAAGTGTCCCGACCACCTATCAGTATTTGAACGACAAGACTCAAAGTAAGTATCACGCGACTTTATTATAATGATAAGTGTCTCATCTTGATTTATGCAGAATACCTTGTCAACGGGAGCTCCATTCCAGATGTGACGTTTGATATTGGCGAGTCATATGCAGGACTTCTTCCTGTCTCAAGCTCGGGCAATTCGAGCTTGTTCTTCTGGTTTTTTCCGTCTCGAAATTCTCGAGCCTCTGATGAGGTAAAGTAACGAAACACGCTTTAAGTAGATCTGGTGGAAAATATGTCAATCTGGGTCATGAAAGACTGGAAAAAAATGCCGTCGGAACATTATCAAGATCGAAGGTTCGGCTAATTATTGAGTAGATCACAGTATGGCTGAACGGCGGACCTGGAGACAGCTCTATGAATGGCATGCTGCTAGGAAATGGTCCCTTTCTCTGGCAACCAGGTACCCGCAAGCCGGTTCCAAATCCCTACGCATGGAATAATTTAACCAACGTGGTTTATATTGATCAACCAGCGGGAACTGGGTTTTCCCCAGGTCCAGGGTGGATTAACGATGTGACCGATATCGCAGAGCAGTTCGTGTTGTGGTTTACAACATTTGTGACAACCTTTGGCCTTGAACGACGTAAAGTCTACATAACAGGCGAGAGCTACGCAGGTCATATGATTCCTTACATTGCATCTCAGATGCTTGACAAAAGAAACAGCACCTATTTCGATGTCCGTGGGGTCCAGATTATAGACGGCGTGATTAATTCATATTCTGTTATGCAGCAAGGTAACCTTCCCTGTTTGTCTCCATCATCCCTTTCGTACTGTCCCCCAACCATGTATCATCTAGAGCGCCGATGAACTGACGGACTAAAATTGGCAATTGATAGCTCCAGCTGTAGCGGCACTGAACTATTTCAACAGAGTATTAGGCTTGAACGATTCATTTGTCTCCAATGCAAACATCAGGTCTGAAAAGTGCGGTTACGACAAATTCTTATCGGAAGCTCTAACGTATCCGCCGTCGAGTCAAGTATTGACAACGCCAGATGTGGATCAACAGGGATGTAGTATTTGGAGCGACATACTTCGAGCGGCATTTGAGGCCAATCCTTGCTTCAATGTATACCACTTGACCGACTTATGCCCCTCCCCATGGAGTGTCATGGAAGACGGCCCAGACAACTACTTCAATCGGCACGACGTACAAGAAGCGCTCCACGTGCCGCAGACGATCTTTAAAGCTCACGGCGGCTTTGCGTGGAGCGGAAATCCCGGCCCTGATGCGCTTGGTCCGTCTCCAAGCGGGTTAGGCCCATTGCCAAGTGTGATTGAGCGTATCAATAACACCCTTATTACTCATGGTTTGCAGGATTATCTATTGCTGGCCAACGGGACCTTGGCCACAATTCAGAACATGACATGGAATGGTCTCCAGGGGTTTCAGGAACCCCCGGTGGAACCGTTAGTAGTGCCGCGCAAATATCGGCTAAGGGAGCTGGGATATGTCCAAGAGTCTGCTATCGATACAGGGGTTGGGATTCAAGGAACCGCTCATACTGAGCGTGGGTTGACATTTGTATCGGTATATTCGGCGGGTCATGGTATGTGCACTCCCTCGGTTCGCTCGGGGAGGATTATTTGGAGCTGATTCGAAATTTCCTCATAGCAATGTCTCAGTACACGCCAGGTGCAGCATATAGGCAGCTTGAATTTCTTTTGGGTCGTATTAAGAATCTTCAAGGGAGTTGTTGAGCCTACAAAGAGCTATGCTCGCTGGCGATGCCGATGTATCGAGTGGACAGACACACGAGAAACTTTAAGAATATAAACAGGGTGGTGACAGTGTCTATCGCCCCTGAGTTGATTATTCTACTATGATCTTGTCCTCTTAGCATAGCTATCATGCTATTCTAGCTAGAGCTATAGGCAAGCTAACGATAACTATGGCAAATGAGAGCAAGCATTTTCCGCCATGTGCGAAGCTTATATAGGAATGGCGTATAAGACTTTCCCGCTACGCGTGAAAGATTTATGCCAGTTAGAGGCAGCGTGATAGATATTGAGACTGTGCGATAAATGGTGTTTATCATAAGCAAGGTTAGCAGCCCTAATACGAAAGGCTTCTGCTGGCACCCCTCGTGACCTACAAGGGTACACTCATCGCGAGCTGCTCCCAGGGCTGTGAAGTATTCGGTCCTAGCGGCGTATGATTTGAGATGACATCGGGCGGTATAAGTCACAGAACAGTCTTTGTATTTGATAACGCTACGCCAGGTATATATAATAGTAATAAATATTTACGATGATAAATGCAAGCCTAACTAAGAGGCGTAACCATCCGCAATATCCACAGCAGTAGCCTCTGCATACTTGCTGTCATATACAGACACCGTGGGAATGACTCCCAGTACATTAACACTACCACCAGTAGTGGTCAAGCCAGCGGCAGAAGCGTTAACACCGAGGGTGATCTAGTATCATATGGTCAGCGAGCCTGTTTTGCAGGAGGGTGGGACAGTTTAAGTTCCTCGAATTTACATATCCAACTAGGCCATCAACAAGCTCGTCGCCAATCTGATCGATGCTGACGATGGCGCTGTAGCCCTCGGATGTGGCGGTGCCAAAGAGAGTGTCTTCGGCGTTGGTGGTGCGGTTCAGCGTGGAGAGATGGGCCAAGTAGGGAGAGAGCTGTTAGACGGAATTGAGCAGGTCCTCATCGAAGAAGAGCTGGCCGATATGCTGGACGGCTCTGACTGAGTAGCTGGTATCGTTTGTGATGTTGGCCTGTATTGTGACGTGGATGTGGGTGGTCCGGAAGGTGTAGTATCCGGGGAACAGGGTCAGGAACTCTGCCATACCCTCAGCATCGGTGATCTGGATGCCACGCAGGAAAGTCTTGTCCTCTGTAGTGCCGTCGTCCCACGTTGACCAACCGTCGCTCAGTGAGGCCGTGTCCGGGTCGATGCCCGTATAGCCGGAGTAGGTGCCGGTAGCATTGCAATTCCAGATGGTGAGCGCGGCATGGGCCAGCGGCTCGCATATCTCTACGTCGATGACGCCTAGGTCGAGGTAGAAGTCCAGGCCCTCCTGGCCGGAGCTCAGCTCGCGCAGGTCGTGGCGCTTCATCTCGCCGTCGATACCATACGGGCCCCAGACGGTGTCAGGCGCCAGCACACATGTGTCATTCTGGATGGGCAAAGATCGATAGTGCCAATGCTAGACAGGCGCCGCCGAAGGTAGTAGCAATCTTCATAATAATTGCTGTCGGTTGGATTATGGGTTTTTATACATGCACTGCCCAAGCCCAGCAATCAAAACTGATTGATGATGAGGTTTGTCGCCGAGTTACTGCGTAGACGCGTCAAGGCTTAGTGCAGCTGTTGGGGTCGAGAGCATCATTGTCTCACGAGATGGGCATATCGTGTCCTTTTAATGAGATTCAGCAAAATTCGGGCCCCAAGTCAGGACGGACAAGTGTGTCGCATGCGGATTGCACCCCAACAGGCAGATTGAGGTGCGCATTACGCGGTGAACTCCACCAAGCATTGATCTTGTTCCTTGAACTGGCCCACTGGCTTGTTCACCAAGAGAGGATCACGTCACGGCCCCGCCGGCGGCTCCCATTTACTCTACTGTCCACCGGGATTATCAACGTTAATATTACAAGAGCTAGAAGATACTTACTCTTTCCACGGAAAAGAGGTCAGATAACTCTACATCTTTAGTATAATAAACTAATATCTCTGATTACTTCGAAAGTAGGCTCTAAGAGTATAAGAGAGATCAGTTAGCAACTCTTTTTATTGATTTAGTGAGGAAGTGATCTTAAGATAGAGGGAAAACCAATGATGTTATTATGTGTGAATTAACGTTGATAATCCCAGGGGGCTAGACTTAGGTGCTTATATGCCCCCTATGGGGTATGCTGTTGTGAGTACGCCATCTGTTTCTAAGCAAAGCCACACTGGCCCAAGCAAAGCCGGCTAGCTGTTTCAAAGCTTTCCAGCTCTTTCTTATTTACGTTCCCCCTTGTCTAGACTCCACTAAGTCCAACGGTTCCTCGGCATATGGGGTGCCACCTACATAATCGGACAGGGTTATCCAGCCGAGGGGCGGGTTACGATTTCGAGGCTAACGATTCGTCGAATTAGAAGCTCAGCCCAGACAACTCATTCGAGATCTTTGTGACGATCACAACCCACCGTTAGAGCTGAGAAGGACTAATAACATGGTGGTAATACTTGGCGCTTGAGCCACTGGATGCTGATGTACACTGGTCCTCTTCTTTCCAGCGTGACTACAAGTCAATGCATCGACGTCTACGCGATGTTTTTCTTCCGCCCCTTTTCCCCTTTACTCGTCCATCATTAATCCAAAGAGCCGGCGGCACGTTACACGGATTGAAAGAGGCCTCAATCAGACATGACTGCCCATAATGACATACAGGACCACCTTTCCCTTAGCCTAGGAGTCAGCCTCCCGCTCTCGGGTTGGGAACTCGGTGGGCTTGTGCTTGTCTGTCTACTTGTCTAGCCCCAGTGTATGTGCGATGATGGTGCTGCGTGCTACCCAAGCTACCACCTTAGCTACCTTGACAAGTGACGATGGAGCAGAGTGCAGCCGCATTCGTACAAAGTGATTAACATTTACATTTGAGCCACCTACCCAAAGCTGTTAGTGCTAAGTCGAGATGCAGGGGCGCCTGCAAGCCCAGCTCGCCTGCAGCCTTACCGATCTGTCCATTGCCGACCGGTACTGTAGCACGTGTAGGTAATTACTGCTTTGTGCGTATATCTGCATAGTAGTAGTTTGCTACTCTAGAAGAGCAGAGCCTCAGCAAGGGCCGGGGGGCCGCGTCAGCAATGGCTCCACTGAGCCTGCACAATTTCGGCCGCTACCTCCCACATCGGCCCCGTAAAAGCAGGCGCCAGGTCTCCCACAGGTGCCGTGGCACTAGGAACAAAATGACATTACCTACAACGCAAACCTAACAGATTTCTCGGAGCGGTCCCCATGGATCTGTTATTGGGCGTTTGCAATCTTCTCTCTCCTCTGCCTTGGGCTCCCCTTTCCCCCTTGTTAATAACCAGATGACGCGATCTGATTCCGTCGTCTCCAGTCGTCTCCGTCTTCTGTTACTTCGGCGGCGGCTAGCAAAGAAATTGTCTGCATATCATGGGCTACGCAGCTTCTTACTGTGTTACCCCTTACTACCTTGGTCGATTTGTCCGAGCTATGCAGCTTGGCTCCTTCAAAGAACCCCCCCTTCTGGGTCAACCAGAGCCAGCAGACCACTCACATCGCAGTGTTTACACATCTGCCCCCGGCAGACATGTAAATGGCATCCCAACATAGGGGTCGCGGATAGACAATCTACCATGACGAATTATCCCTGGTTCGCCGTCATGCAGCATGAGAACCTCAGAGAGGGTTGGGCGAGAGAGGGGACGATGCCCATGCAATGCTCTCGGCACACGTACTCGAGCAACCACCACACTACTATGCTGAGGAGAGTAGTGTCCAGTCTCCACCGTCTTTGTTTATAGTAGTCTAGTATACTTTTGTCACTGTAGTTGACGTCGAACTATAGAAAAGCTCCCATTATCGCTCTCTTGTTGGCCTCCTTGTCACATCTCGATCACCCTCACTCTCAGTCGCTTCCAGATATATAGGTTCACTTCACTTCTTGGTCTATCCCTTTTTGTCTCTAATACTTCACCCCTCGCATAGACATTCGCTCGTTTCTCAGGAAGAGCAATAATGGTTGCTTTCTCCAAGGCATTCCTTTTGGCATTTGCCAGCTACGCTTCTGCCCACCCCGGCGAGGCGCACGATACCCATCACATGAAGCGCGAGATCGTGGCCCGCGACAGCGCAGCCCGCGTCGGCGCTCGTGCCTTGAGCGCTTGCAGCAACTCTGCCAACGCTCTTCAGCTCAAGAGTCGCTCTATCCAGCGGCGCGCCGAGACCGTTAAGAAACTGCGCCAGAAGCGCGGTATCAAAGCTCGTGAGCGCAAATTCTTCGATTCGGCGACCTCATGTTGAATTGTTCATGGTGGAATAACACATGACTAATAATGAATCTTCAGCTGCCCGCAAGAACCGCCGAGACCTTGAGGATCTCCAAGCCTGGGAAGCCATCAACCATAACCAGACTGGTGTCTACAACTATGATGCCTTCACACCTCTTGAGACCGTTTTTGACGCCAACACTAGCTGTATACTGGCGCCCACCATCACCAACGGTCCGTATTACGTAGCTGGCGAGTATTTCCGTTCCAACGTGATCGAGACGGAGTACTGCGAGGGCATCAACGTGTTCCTTGAGGTGCAGTACATCGACATCAACACCTGCGAGGCCATTCCCAGCGTCGCCGTCGATGTCTGGAATTGCAACGCCACGGGCGTGTACTCTGGCGTCGATTCCGCTGGCCAGGCCGGCCTGAATACCACCTTTCTCCGTGGTATACAGTTGACTGACCACGACGGTGTCGCATCTTTCGAGACTATCTTTCCCGGCCACTACTCCGGCCGCGCCATCCACACTCATTTGTTGGCCCACACAAACGCCACCCTGGAGCCCAACGGCACCATCTCCATCTGGTGAGCTTCCCTCCATCCTCTCACATTGGCATATCGATCAGAATATGTGCTAATGTCTCGTGACCCAGGGATGCCCCCGTCGCCCACATTGGGCAGCTGTTCTACCCAGAGGACCTGATCGAGGAGGTCGAGGCCACCTATCCATACAACACCAACACGGTTGAGCGTACCACAAACGACGACGACATGTGGTCTGTTCTCCAGGCCGACGCGTCCTTCGACCCCATCCCCGAGTATCTGTACCTCGGCGACGACATCACGGACGGCCTGTTTGCGTGGATCCAGATCGGCGTCAACGGCTCCGCCGACTACTCCACCAACTCGTACTACGGCGTCGCCGCCTACCTCGGCGCCGACGGCGGCCACTCCACCGGATACAGCGTCGGTGGTGGTGGTGGTGATGGCGGCCAGGGCGGCCCCGGCGGCAACGGTACGTTCCCCAGCGGCGCTAGCAGCGGTATTGTCCCCGTATCTACCTCCACTTGAGGTGAAGCAGTCAACTAGGAGTGTAGGGAGAAGTAGCAATAGCATTAGTTGTGCAGAACGTTACAACCGGTAATAGAAAGCGCTTAGATCTGCTTTTATTTGTATACACTTCTTGTTTATATGTATTTATTGCTTTACCTTTGAGCTGAATCGCATTCTGCATATCATTAGACCAAGCCTCTATATTCATCTGTTTTTTTTAACACACAAATTCTTTTTAATAACACTTGTGAATTCGGCTTGGCGTACATCCTCAGCGTCTTCGAGCCAGACCAACGAGTCACTGGAAGTTACTACTTCAGTTACGTATGATCTAGACGCTATCGTGGAATTTGCCATGCTGGGAATAAATACGAGGTAACCTACTAGCCGGGCTCCTCGCTGGCCCTTCACCTGGTTCATGCCTATACATACGCTTCGGGTAGCCGGGGGCCCCTGTAGCATTCCTGTCATTAGTCTGGCATTCATCAGTTTGCAGAAAGCAGAGTTAATTGCACGGTTGCTAACTACTCTTTTGTATTGGGATGAAGTCCGTTACGTTGTAATACAACCTCGAAGTTGCGACTGTGTGTTACTAGATGTTACCGGAAAATCAAGTTAGACTACTTCCTCCAAAGCCGAATAGCAATCTTCTTCACATTCAGTGGTCCAGAAGAAGTCTGTCCAAAAGCGCTGTATTGTGGCGAGTGGTTTTAGCGTGTCAGAAAAAGCATTATGCTCAAGATCTATCTTGTCTGGTGTCAACAAAGATTGCGATAACGAAAAGGCAAGAAAGAACGGAAGTGGTTGGCATGGCCTCACATATGTTTCTCAGGCAGGTGAAGAGCTGCCTAGATCCAGGAGCCTAAATGATGGTCTTGCCAAGAGGTGGCTGAATGCCATAGTCCACCACCCACAGAATGAAGAAAAAATGCCCTATGATATTGAACATTTACTTCGCTGCTATCAATGTTGTGCTAATTGACACGTACAATAGAAAGCGCTATTCGACATGACTCCAAATCTCTCCAAATATACGGCTTTTATCCGGCATTCAAAGGAACTTCCGCTGAATAACATTCTACACGCAGTTTTATGAATGAATTGTTGAATTTTTAGCCATCAAGGACAGACTCTCTTCCGCTCATCGTATGAATCAGCATGACCGACGAGGATATTTGATTAAGGTGCCTTGTTCTTCCACAATGGATGTGGTTGTGGAAGCTTTCATCTATTCACAGGAGCTGATAAGGGAGGCGGGGCGCTAAGCCCAATGGAGACTTCGGGACGTTACTTAGGGACTGCGGTGAGATTGCTGCGGGCGAATCCTACCAGTACGATTTATTTTCTCCACCTGAATTTAGGCGTCCATCCCAACAATGCTCTCGAGTTAAGACTATATGCCAGGTGATCTGAATTAACTTCAGTCTGTGGTCGTCTCTTCAGTTTCCTTTCTACCGCGGCTGCTGCTCCATCGTTATAGACTTAATCTCCATTCGGAGGCGATCTCACCAGCCTCAGCCATGGTGAAGCGGGTGAAGACAGTGCCAAAAACAGCATCTCGGAGGGCTGTGTCAGTAGCATCTTCGTCTGTTTCCTCTGATCCAGTCCCTACACTCCTGTTTGAGAATCCAAACGCCTGGCAATCGTGGTTGGAGGCTCAAACTGACGAGAAGACGGGTGTATGGTTGAAGATGAGCAAGAAGGGGGCAGCAACCCCCACACTCACGTACGAGCAAGCGCTCGACGTAGCGCTTTGCTATGGCTGGATTGATGGGCAAAGGAAGAGCCACGATGACCAACACTTTCTGCAGCGCTTCACACCTCGCCGGAAGACAAGCATCTGGTCGAAACGCAACGTCGACAAGGTGGCGGCCCTCATCGAAGCGGGACGTATGCAACCTGCAGGGCAAGCCGAGATCGACGCGGCTAAGGCAGACGGGAGATGGAGTCGTGCATACGCCGGTTCAAGCATGATCCAGGTTCCCGAGGACCTCAGGACCGCACTGGCACGCGATAAGAAGGCCTCCAAGTTCTTCGATGCACTTAATAAGACCCAACGATACTCTTTCCTATGGCGCATTGAGACTGCAAAGAGACCCGAAACAAGACAAAGGCGGATCGTGCAGTTCGTTGAGCTACTCGCGGAACACAAAACACTATGACCGAATTACCAGAAAGGCACACTAAGGTCTTAGCATGGCAAGCAGATGTATTGCATGCTAATTGAGGGCGCTTCATTATGCTCCGGTGGTGAACCATACACCCCCGTCGTCTATCAGCCATCCCATAAACCCAAACAAAGAGCCGCCCCACGCATTTCCGTCCTGCCGAACTACCCAAGCAAGCATCCACCTTATCCCTTATCCGTCTATGAGCGCCATTATCGATGATTTGCAAAGTGTACCCCCTTATGTTGAAGTTCAGGCCCTAAGTAACGCTTGGGAGGTCGAATGTAACGACATGCCGCCCTGTTGCAGGTGTGAAAAACGACCACCCTTTTTTTATCCATATAACGCCACAGATCACGAAAAAGAACTATGAAACGTATCAGTATTGAGTTTAGAGACACTATTTGGGACAAGATACGTACAAATCGCCACCCATCAAGACAGTGGCGTACGCTGTCCCCGAGGCTCATTTCTTAGGGGTAGGAGGCTTCTGGGTGCCAGTGGTATCATAGCCGGTTCGACTCATGTTTGAAGAGGTTGAAGAAACTCTGGAAAATGCTAGAGTGTGGTCCGCGGTGAGGTGTCTAACAATGATCAAACGTGGACCAGCGGTGGTGGAACAGATGATGGACGAGCGAGCGGTGGCGACTACGGACGGCGCTTAGGGATCGACAGACTGCAGCTCCGGCGCCGATTTGTCATATATGAGAGCAATACTCTACGTGTTGTATCAAGTTGAGCTGGCATATATATAGCAGGTTCTTGATGGTAGTGATGAGGGCGAGCTATCATGATGACCTGGCGATGAAGTCTTTGTTCTCCGCGAAAATGTGGCTGCAGACACGTTACTGAGGAAGAAAAGGGGGAACATCAAGGGTCAGATATTATATAGCAAAGTCAAAGAATGACATGAATGCACGCTGACCTGGCCAGGCGCTGCAATGAGTGTCGTACGCAATCCTATTGGCAATTCACCTTCTCAGAATAAGCGGTCGGCTGCTAAGCTGCACCTAGCTGGGTCCTAGGTGGAGCACTAATACTGCGGTGCTGCCCGATACCCTGACCTTAATCCCAAAGGAACGAGGAGACAGACGGGAACTAAGGTAAAAAGGTGATATTCTGGTTGTTTCAAGCATTTCCCGGAGCAATTTGTGTGAGTTTTGGAAAAGCCCTTCTGTCTGGTCATTGGCTGCCCTTGTCCAAAAACGAGGCGGCGGTAGACACACGTTATGCGGGCCAAGATATACCCTGTCACTCCTGCATGTTGTCAAAAATAATATGCACAATGAGAGCGGTGTGGAAAGACTTCCAATGTCGGTGACAATACTTTGTTTTACTCTTTTATTTCGCTATGTACTGATGATCTGCTCAAAAATGCATCTAAAGCCGCCCTGTCCTGTGTTGCCAGTTTGCGAAAATGCGTCTAAAAACTCTAGGTAAGATACCGCCATGCTTCTTCGGGGTATCAAGCAGCAAAGATCAAAAGACCGCCCCTGCCAGATCATGCAACTCGTTCCGTTAATTGTACATTACACCAACAACAAACACCGCTAATATGCAACCACCATGTGTCCTCCATGCAGCCAGGGCATCCACTCGGAAGGCCGTCTCAGACCCGGTGTGAGGGCTCCTTCTCGGAGCCATTGAGCGAATGAGTACTCGTCTCCCGGCCACGGCTGCTACCCTTGATGTCAGGTTCGATCTCGACGACGACCGTGGTCACCGTGTCCATCTGAATGTTCATTCCCATATCTCCGCCGCGCCCTGCACCTCGAAGAGACTCCTGGCTAATGCTTCGCTCGCCCGTTCTCCGGTGGCCGCCGTGTCGGAGTTGTCGCTCGTGTGCTCTCGACTGTCTGCCGAAGGTCAAACGCTGCCACCAAGACTTCCTGTCGCCGGCTCCACCTGGCAGCACCTCTCCATCACTGTTCCCCTGAACCCAGACCATGTTGCCGTACTGTCGACCGTGTGGTGTTCTCATGAAGGTGAAAGTCTCCAAGCCAAGAGCATCCTCCTTGTCAATGTCTCCAAAAATGAGAGTTCGACGTGTACTGCCCCACAGCAGGACATCCAACCAACCGTTGCTTACGATAAGGGCCGCGGCGGCACAGAAATAAGATTGAGAGACATTGGCACCGGCCATGGTGGCAATACGACCCAGGGCAAGAGGCAGGGTGCAGATGACATAGATGACGGGGTAGACGAAGAATCCTGGATGGTGACCGGCCCCATGCTTGACGGCAGCTGTATTGTTTGAAGAAGCAGCTGTCTCTCGGTCGTCCATGGAAGCCTTGTGATGGTTTGAGCGACGTTCGTTGTTTAATCTTGTCGCCTCCTCCTTTGCCGTACGAGATCGGAGAGTAAAGAAGATTAAGGTGTAAAGGGCAGAGGTGACCGCCAGAGCAATGAAGATGAATAAATAGTGCGTCACGAGACGGTAGTTCTCGTACTTCACGTTGATCCAACACTAGGCTTGGTCAGTATCAAATGAGAACGGTGCAAGGGTCAGCGAAAGTCGCTTCGGAAGGCACATACCCAAGCTGCGGCACGAACAAACCAGCCTCCAGCAGCCTTGCCGTTCCTCGTCAGGGCAATGCCCAGCATCGACATGATATATACGAACAGCCAGATACCGATGACGGTGGTATTAATTGCCCATTGTGGAGGCTTGTATTGTCTAATGACAGTCAAGTAGGTATGGACAGCGATGGCCATGATGAAGCAACTTGAAGCCAAATCGCCTGTTGAGACATACCAGCCCTGCACCCAACACGGTCCCGCTCCTACGGTGATCTCATTCCTGCTGATCCAGGCGGCATTGAGGAAGAAAGCCATGGCCTGGTGCATGTC